ATTCCTGGGTCAGCCCACCACCGCCCTGACCCCTGCTAGGCTATAAGATGCCCATGGACAGAGACTATCCATTTTGTTCTCCACTGTATCCCCGGCACTTAGCATAATACCTGGCACTCAATAAATACTGGTTGGAAGAATGAATCCAACTCAACTGTTAGAGTTGGGGTAGAAGGGGCTAGCTAAGGATTGGCTCTTCTGGACTGACGATGATCATAGGGTTAAAATGCATCTCAAGAGGTCATCTGGTCCATGCCCCTGTTTCAGGCTCAGCCACTGCCCTGCCAAAGCCACCAAATCTGGCTTCTCGGGAAAAGTGTTGGCGTGGGTTCTAGTCCTTGGAAGAGCTGCTTCCTCTCTCTTGGCCTCCGTTTCTCCTCTCCAGTTCGAGGAGGATGGATTGATCTTCAAGTTTCTTCCACCTCTACCAGTGTGTGCTTCCAGAAGACACAAAGCCCTTTGGAAGTGAGCAGCCCCTGTGTTTGAATCACCAGCATTGGCTCCATTCCCGAGAGTGCCAGCTGCCGGGGGGGGTGTGTCCCCAAGCCTGGCAGAGTTGCAACGATGGGCTTTTTCACGGGCAAACCAGGACGTACACAGTGAAGGGAGGCGGGATCTTTCAAGTCATCCCCTGAGAGGCCACATATCCGCTCCAGTGGTGCTGCTCGGGCCCACAAGAAGCTCTGGAAACTTCTCTTGCGGCGAGGTCTTCTGGATGGGCGTCGGAGCCGCAGGGGGCACACGACCTCACTACAGGGTACCCGCACCTCAGTTCCAGGTCAAGTTCTGCTCCCCAGCTGGCTTCCCTCCTTCTTCACAAAGTGTGACCCCCTAAAGACTCCCAGTCGTTTCCAGAAGAGCAAAGCCAGTCCGAAGGGCAAAGATTTACTCCACAGTGAGGATTTTCGGAGCATATGTCACAAGCTCTGAGATGTTCCAAAAGAGTTTCCAGAAATGTTTGAGAAACCGCAGCAAGTTGGTGTGAACATATGGCTTCCCAGGGGGACCACTTGGATGGGGTCGTTGCTCCTTTGGGTGTGTAAATCAGCCTCAAGCCTCACCTCGTCAGAGCTAAGTGTGTGAAAAAGTATGCAAGCGTCATGTATCCAACAAGTGGAAGCTGACCCCTGTCACAACGGCCAGGTGGGGAGAAATGCAAAGATAGAGGTACGGTCCCTGCCTCTGGGTCTGAGACTTCCCAGTATGTGGCTGGAGCACCCTTAACTCAGGATGACGACATTTTAGAATGGGAAGAAACCCACGCCGTCACCCGGTCCCCCTCATTTTACAGATGAGAAAACAGAGACCAGTGTGCGTTCGGGGGCAGGGGGAGGTAGTGATGGCCCCACCACCTGGCCCAGAGAGTTGGCCGCAGAGGGAGGAACTGACCTCTAACCTCCCAAATGCCAACCCAAGCGGCCCATCCCAGCATCAGCTCGCTCCATGACCCCACCCGTGAGAAGTAAAATAAAGATCCTAATACGTGCCTCCCTCCTGGTGGGTCGCGAGGATTAGTGAATTAATGCATGAGAAGGTTAGTGGGGGTAAGGAGGACAGCTAAATAAAAGCAGAACGTGCTGAGAACGAAAAGAGCAGCCCCATTAACCCAGAGTCCAGTGGGGGGGGGGGCGCACTAAGGCTAAGTGACTGCGTCACCGAGTCACATCCCTGTAGCCTTAAATATTTCATGGAGCCAGAAGTGCACTGCGCGGAACAGCTACTTCTCCAGCCCCGGCTGCGGCTGCGGCAGGGATGGCAACGCCTGCCTGCACACGCGAGCACACCTCCCGCAGACACCTGCAAGCAGGCTCCACCTCCAACCAGGGGCCCCCAAGAGCAGGTGGCGGGCCCTCCATGCCTCCCCAGCCCAGTGTGTGAGCAACGCCTGCCTTCTTCCCCCCACAAGCTCAACACACACTCACAGCCACTCAGCCAGCTCTGGGCATGAATAAAGGTCAAAACACGACACACAGACAGCCCCGTTCTAGCCCACGCTGAGACCCCAGCCCCAGAGGCTGCAGCTGGCCACACTCCACCTCCGCGCTACCCGCAAACGCTTCGCCCACCTGCACACCCAGCCTCCTGCTCTTGAAGCAAGCCCGAACCCGTGCCCAGAGCTCTCTCCTCCCTCTCCCTGCTCTCTCTTCCTCTGCCTCCACCCCAGCACTGGCTGCTCCGGGACCCTTCTTCCCACAGAGCCCCCCATCAGCCATCTCTCCAAAGCCTGAGCAACCTGGGCCCCTCTCCTTACCTGTAGCTTTCAGGGCAAGGGGTTCGGAGAATCTGGAGCTTGGGAAAGCAACATGAAGGGTGGGCGTAGGACTTTGGGAGGAATCTCCATGGCCAGACCAAAGTCTGAGGGGAAGGGGGGAATATGAAAGAGGCCCAGGCAAACTGGATGACCGGGGTGGGGTGAAGGTTCTCCTGATGAGAGCCTGGAGAGACGACTCCCCTCACTGCTGCCCTGCTAGGAGATGACAAGGCAGTAACATCGGCAGCCATGGCTTAATCGAGGGTGTTCTATGTGCCAGGCACTTAGCTCGTATGATACTCAACCCTATCAGGGAGGGACTCTTCTCGCATTTTACAAATGAGGAAACTGAGCCTCAGTAGGAGATTTGGAAGCCCCAGAGATCCAAGGGTGTGGTAATGCTGGTTTCAAGTTCCAGGGTCCTCGTGGAATGGGGTAAGGGATGTGCAAGTCACCTATGTAGAGGATACTTTGGGCCCTGTTCTGCGTATGTGTGGTTAGGAGGTGGGCGAGTGGGAAGGAAACATGGATGCACCTTGAAAGCATTATGGTAAGGGAAATAAATCAGACAAAGACAAAAACTGTATGATCTCACTTATATGTGGAATCCAAAACAAAAGTCAAACTCCTAGACAAGGAGATCAGATTTGCAGTTATCAGAGGCAGAGGGGAGGGGGACCGGGAAATGGAGGAAGGTGGTCAAAAGGTACAAACTCCAGATTTAAGATGAATAAGTGCTGGGGATGTAATGTACCGCATGATGACCAGAGCTAACACCGCTCTATGAGACACCAGGAAAGTTGTTAACAGAGTAACTCCTGAGTTCTCATCACAAAGAGAATTTTTTCCGTTTTCTCTTCTTTCTTTCTTTTTCTTTTTTATTGTATCTTATGAGAAGATGAATGTTAGCTGAACCTATTGTGGTCATCATGTCACAATATATGTAAGTCAAACCATGGTGCTGTATGTATGCCTTAAATTTATACAGTGACGTATGTCGCTTATTTTTCAATAAAACTGGAGGAAAAAAGTTTTTAAAAAGAATGCAAAGGGACCCTATGAGTGCAGACTGAGTGTAGGGGGTCATTCCTAGAGTCCAGGTGACAGCAAAATGGGGTCAGTTAACATGCAAATGGAGGTCTGGCTGGCATACTGGGTCCCTATAACCCCAGGCTTGCCCTGGGAAAACCGAGCTGGGCCTGGCACGTGTAAAGAAATATGGCTAGCGGGGAGGACAGGGGAGGTTATTTTGGGAGGTAAAAGGGGAAGGGGCCGTGAAATCCAGGTCAGGGAAGGGCTGCCCAAGAGAGGAGGCAACTAAGAGTTGAGGTTGAGCCCTTAGAGGAGAGGGTGATCATAGGGACCCCAGAGAACCAGGCATTGATCTGTATGGAACTTGCCAGGTGCCGGTCTTCAAGCTAAAGAAACAGATCTTTTTTTTTTTTTTTTTAAGATTTTATTTATTTATTTGACAGAGAGAAACATAGCGAGAGAGAGAACACAAGCAGGGGGAGTGGGAGAGGGAGAAGCAGGCTTCCCGCCGAGCAGGGAGCCCGATGCGGGGCTCGATCCCAGGACCCTGGGACCACGACCTGAGCCGAAGGCAGACGCTTAACGACTGAGCCACCCAGGCACCCCAAGAAACAGCTCTCTTGCCCTGGCCCTGGCCCAGCCCCTCCCCCAGAACTCCCTGTCCCTTCTCCTCCCTACCTCCAGTCCTTCTCTTCCCCCAGTGATGCATCCAGCCCTGCCCCACCCCAGGGCCACAGCACCTCTTCTCCCTCCATCCAATGACCCCCAGGCCCTGGCAGGGTGCCACCAGCTCCTAAGAATATCCTATCTGCCTCACTCACTGGTATTGATTGACATCTGGTCCTACACCAACGCGGTAAGTTCTTCACCGAGTCTAACCTCCATCCCTTCAGTTACAGCAGATCATTTTCATGATCCTGCCAGTAGTGGAACTGGAAACCAACCCCATCTGTAAACAAGCCACCCCACCAGGAGTTTCCCTCTTCATCCCCCAGCATTCTCCCCTCGAAGGCCTTTCACCTGCTTTCCCAGACCCATAGTTTAGCAAGCAGAAAGAGAAATCTATTTCACAAGCATTATCGGCTCCCCACCCCCAACACTCCGTCTGCTGAGACCCAGATGGTCCTCTCTCCCGGAGCCCTCCACCCACTCCCATCGGCACTTCAAGAGAGAGGCTCTGGCCTCTGGAGACCCTTTAAGATCTCCAATTCGCCCTCCCTGTCGGCCGAGGGAACTGTCGGCGCCGGGACCGCACCCCTCCCCTCCAAGTTTTCACCTTTGCCCTAGTGTTTTCCTCTCCAGGACAAGTCCCTCTCCGTGTCTAGCCTTCACCCCTCCTGCTGCATGCCTAAATCCCCTTTCCTTCTTTGCTCTATGAGACAACCCGTTTTCAGATCATAAATGAAATCTTCCTCTCACGTTTGCCGCCTCCTCTTGGCAGCGCCCCTCCACCTTCCCACTCCTAAAACCTGTCCCAGCCTGGAGAAGTTCTCCGTCCCGCTCCCACCCCCCCACTCCCTGCCCGGAACTCTGAGGACACCTGGATGCGGGCCGGGGCCGCCGACCACCACCCGGACCCGGCCACACCCGGCTCGCCCGTCGGCGGGGTCTCCCGCAGCCCGCGGCGCAGCCACGACGGGGTTAAGGTTCCGGGCTGGGGGAGGGGGAGGGGGCCGGGAGGGGCGGGTGCGGAGCCAATCGGCGGCCGCAGAGTCCCCGGGGCCGGGGGCCGGGAGCCGGGAGCGCGGGGCCGGGAGCCGGGAGCTGAGCGCGCCGGGCTGGGGCCGGGGCCCGAGCGGAGCGGAGAGGGAGCGCGCCCGCCCCAGCCCCGAGTCCCGCCGCCCGCCCGCCCGCCGCAGCGCCGGCCCAGCGGCCGCCGCCCCAACCATGGAGCAAGACAACAGCCCGCGGAAGATCCAGTTCACGGTCCCGCTGCTGGAGCCGCACCTTGACCCCGAGGCGGCGGAGCAGGTGCGGAGCAGGGCGGGGTGGCAGGGGACTCGCCCAGCGACGGACGACGGACCCCTGGGCTGTGGGAGCTGAGAAACCCGCTTCGTCCGCCCTTCGCAGGGCGCCCCTGTGAGGGCGACCGCGCTCGGTCTGGGGGTCTTCTCTCCCCTCCCCCACCGCTGGAGCCACATCCCCGTCTGTGCGAGGGCGAGCGCCTCCACTCGAAGCCTGTCCCCCGCGGAGGGTCGCTCTCTGCCTCCAGGCCTGGGGGCGGGGGCCTGCCTGAGGACACGACCCCTACCCGCCTTCCCCAGGCTTGCATCCCCCACCCACTCAACCCCCCTCCCCACGCAGAGTTTCTGAGCTCGGTGGGGGCGCCCAAGGGTACGGCAGCCTTGCGGGAGGGGTTCGGGGCGGGGGTGGGGTTGGGGGCGAGAAGGTAGGTAATGGAGGGACCCTGGTGCTGTCGAAAGGAGTTGAAAGAAGAGAAATCGCCTCCCTGGTCCTCCCCTAACTGAAGGCTACCTTGTCTGACCCCAGAGAGTGAGAAGAAGAAGGAGCTGGGGAAAACCGAAAGGGCTGGGGCTTTGGGGAGAGGGGTGGTCGGGTCCAGAGGCCGAGGTTCCCCTCTTCTGCATGTCTGGACACGTGGGTCCCTAGTCCCAACTCCTGCCCTTTGGAGCAGGGAGTGGGGTGGCATGGAGAGAATGGTACCGGGAAGCCAGAGGCAGGGGCTTTCTGGGGGCTGGGTGCAAGGGACCCCCTGTGCAAGGGAGCAGCCCTGTGCTGGCCTTGGCTCAGTGGGTGGGAGTCCAAGGCCCTGGCCCAGCCCAGGGCCTGATCTATTTTTAGCTCGGAGCCGCCTGGCAGAGGTGGCAGTGGATGAGAGTGTGTGAGCAAGTGTGTGTCTCAGGGAGAGTGAGCATGTGTGTGGAGAGGGTGACCACCCGTGGTCACTACTACCGCCCATTTACCAAATATTTGCTCATTTGCTCATTGTTCCACCTCTTTCTGTGTTCTCTGTCCATTTCCCTGGACATCCCTGTTCCTAAGGAATATCCACTGGCCACAAGGTCAGTTCTCCATTCCCCGCAACCGGCTCCCAGGGCTCTGGCTGGGCCTCCCCACCTGAAAAAAACTCTGTGACCTCTTGGGATGGGCTGGAGAGAGATGTCCTCTGTCTTGCTTTGGTGGAATAAGGTCAGGGTGTGAAGGGAAGGGTCGGGACACACACTCTCCCTGTAACTTCAGCTTCCCAAAGTGTGGGCAGGGGTGAGGAACCTGCCCCTGCCCCCTCTCCCTGGCCTGGGGGGAGCCGCCTCTCCAGACCTCGAAGGGGTGACAGTAGGAGGGACTGTGGGGAGACCTCAGGCCTGGTGAGGATGAGGAGGGTGGAGAGCCCGATCTTGGGGAGTGTTCCCCCAGAGTCAGGGGCAAGGCTGTTATGCCCGGAGGCAGGGGACTGGCTAAGATAACCTCAGACTCAGAAAAAAGGCCCCATGAGTATGGGCTGGGGGGCGGTTAGGGGTGAAGTGACAAGAAGGACTGCCTCCCACCGGCATAGACAGGTCTCACTGCCTGACACCTGCATCTGTTTGGTGTTCGAGAAGGCAGGTGTCGGTGTGTGTTGGGAGGAGGAGGGGGTAGGCCAGCTGGTTCAGGGGTCAGGAAACAGAGGAGGAGCAGACAGTGGTAAGGAGCCAGAGTGAAAAAAGAGCTGGGACTTCTGCCTGCTTTTCTCTAATATTCCAAAATTGGTGTCCACTAGACCTGAAATTCTACCTGCAGTCTAACCTCGGCCCCTCTTGCTGTGTTGCCCAAGTGTGTTACCCAATCAAAAAGCTCCAGGCGTGGCAGGAGCTCCTAATCCAGACGGACATGGAAGAGCAAAGGGGGTTAGAAGCTATGAGTTATGGAGCATAGAATGGCAGGGGATGGAGGGGTGCCCACAACTACCAGGTCTTTGGCATGACTGGTTTGGCCCCAAATCAGAGGCAAAGGCACCAGGTGCCCTTGAGCACTAGAATTTGAGATAGGTGCAAGAGAAAGAAGAGAGATGACCTGTTCATTTCCCAGTAGTTCAGGTGCCTGGGAGGTGCTTTAGGAAGGCTGACCTGACTCCCTTCTGCTATAGGATATCAAAATTCTCAAAGACTCTGAGTGCCTAGAAATCTTGTCCAAGGCAAAGAAATGGGCTAAGGGACCTGTCCAACATCGCAGAGCCCTGCTGCGCTCTCAAAGGCCCTTTCTGACGTGCTTGTGGTCCCTTCTCAGGATCCCAACTTCCACTAACACCCCCACCCTCTCCCTGTCTCCCTGACTCCTCCACAGCCAGCATGCCCCCTCCACCCACAGCAGGAAAGAAAGAAAAGGGAGTCCTCCCCTAGGGAAGGGATGGCCCTCACCCCGCAGATGTGATGCCAATGTGCCCGCCTGCTGGTGCCCAGCACCTCTGCATCAGGAACGGCCAGACCGACTCACAACTAATGTTTGTGTAGTGCCGATGTGTATGCGCACGTGTGCACACACACACACACACACACACAGGACTGCTACTGCCAGGGACCTTGAAATGTCACCCCAAACAGATGTCGCTGGCATCTCCAGAGAAAACAATGACCTACCCCAGCGTAACCCCCGTTGTACGCATCCCATTTCTTTAGGGAGAATCCCCCTCTCAGGCTAACACTGTGCCTCTTGCTAGGGCTGATACCCACTTTCTGGGCATAGAGAAGGGCAGGAGTCTTACCCCACCCCCAAGGGTGGTGATACTAAATAATGGGACACAGAAAAGAGAGGAATTTGATCCTTCAGGGTCCTCACCCTACTACTCTCAGCCCTGGATAATTTTAGCCCCTTTCCCAGCCCCTTTAGCCTTCCCTCCTCTCTTCTGCCCTGGAGGGAGCTGCAGGGACTCCAGCCCCACGGGTCCCCTCACTTCCAAGCCTCTAAACCCTCCAGAGAAAGGGGAAAAAAACCACACGTCCCAGGAGTCCTTGGACTGACTTCAGCAGCAATCAACTTTATTGGCAGCGTGGACAAAAGAACAGCAACCGCCCAGCGGACGTCAGCTTTTATATGTTAATTTCTTAGGCTGGGACCCTGGAGTCCAGGGTAAGACTTTTCAGTAACTTTAGGCCCTGACTAGACTCCTGCTAGTATTTTATTTACCATGACGAGGATTTCCCCAGACCGCATTTCCTGACAAATTAGAAAGGTAGTATGTCCCAGGATAGGGAGGACTTTGGGGAATAAAGCCAGCTCGTGGGCCAGAGAAATGCACCTTCAGCCCTACCTTCCCTGAGCCGTCCACCCAGGCTGGGTGGGGACTGAGGGGTGCTCTCCACCGATGCCGGCACACCAAAGGTTAATGTCTGTTTTGGGGGGAGTGGGCTGGACCACTGAGGGAAAAGCCTTGGCCCTCTCGGGTTATTTCTGACCATTGGTCAGGATGGAGAGAAGGACAGCAAGCCGGAGATCCATGCATGAGAGCAGATAGAGCTGCTGAGACGGAGCACTAGGGAGATGCAGAAACAGAAAGGGGGGTGGGGGGTCTTTTGGGTCCCCAAGGGGGAGGGGTGGGCCCAGGAATGTCCATCTTGGGATGGTAGGTTCCGTGTAATGGGGCATTTTTTGAGGGATAGTAAGCGGGGATTATGTTGCTGAGTGGGATTGGGTGGGGCTTCGATGCTTCCACGTGCACTTGACCTCTTCCCTCAGATCCGGAGGCGCCGCCCCACGCCTGCCACCCTCGTGCTGACCAGCGACCAGTCCTCCCCAGGTAACCCCAGGGATGGGTCGCTGAAGGGCGTGGGGGCTGCTGAGGACAGCCGGGTCCAGTGAGAGAAGGCGGGCGCCGGCTAGAGGGCCGATCAGAGGAGTCAGAGAGAGCTAGCTCCTCAGCCCTGGGGTCGGGAAAGCGGTGGCTGCAGTCGCAGGAGGATTTCCTTCGCTTTGGCAAGATGGAGCTGGGCTGGGGCAGGGGAGGGAGAGCACCTGGCTCCTAAGCCCCCCAGGAATTGGGGTGGTCAACTGAGTGCCGGTTGCTATGGCAACAGCCTTCCAGGTTTCTCCAGCAACTGAGATGCTGCGGCCCCCACCCCCAGAGGCAGTGACAGCTGTGAGGGGGAGGGACCGCCTCCATCAGCCCTCTTCCCAGCCCCCAGAGGGGAAGGCGAAGGTCAGACGCTGCTCAGGAAGCAGCTGGTATTCCGATCACCCGCATGCCCAACGAGGCCTGGGGAGAGAACCAGGTCTCCCAGAGTATGGGGGAGCTTGCCAGGACAGGGGCAGAGAGGTGGTCATGCTCATAAGCCAGCCTGGAGTTCAGGATGCCTGAGCCTCCGGCCTGCACCCAACTACCAAAAAGGATTGTACGTCCCTGCACGGGATAAACTTGCTGTTCTTTATCCAGGATTCCCTCCCATGCAGGGTTCAGTTCTGGACCTGGGGCAGGGGCAGTGGTTGGGAGGAGAGGGAGGAAAAGAGCCAAAGGACCACAGATCCTTCTTCAGGAACCTCCAGGTCTGAGGCAGAGATGTAGACAGAGATTGACCACAGAGTCAAGGACAGGACTCCGTGCGGGGAAGAAAGCAGGGCAGGAGGGAGCCTGAAGGGAGCCGGCCTGGGGCAGCCATCAGGGCCATCTTCCTAGGGGCAGATCAGAAAAGAGGTGATCGCCGAGGCTCCTCCCCTTGGGAAGTCAGCTCTAGGGACCCCTGAGTTTTCAGTCCTCTTCACTTTCTCCTTTCCCTGTTCTCCTCAGAGATAGATGAAGACCGGATCCCCAACCCGCTTCTCAAGGTGAGCTGGTCCCTCTCACTCAGCAAAGCCCAGAGAACCCAATGACTCCTCAGGGGATTCTTCCTCAGCCCCCCACCCAATCTGAAGGGCCTTTTGACTCCCTCTCCTCTGCATCCCCTCAAAGGAGCAGGAGCGGACACACACATACACACACACCGTATCCCCCAAGCCCAGTCTCCTTGCTCACCATTGTGTGGGGGAGGGGAGCGGCTGGGAAGCAGGAAATTTCGCCCCCCACTTTCTGAAGCCCACAACTGACCCCCAGTCTCCAATCCAAAAGCATGGCAAGGCTCAGAAGGCGGGGGAGAAGGGCTGGCCCCCCACCTGTGCTCTGTGTCCTTCACAGTCCACGTTGGCCATGTCTCCACGGCAACGGAAGAAGGTGACGAGGACCACACCCACGATGAAAGGTTAGGAAGACCCCCCTTCCCGTCCCTTCCTTCCCCTTGTGCCTGAGGCGGAGCAGTGGACCTAATGACCCCTTTGGAGGGAATCCTTGGGAAGTCCTTAAAGCTGCCTTTATTATAGTCGGATTGTTGCTAGACAGTCTGGGCTGCCTCTGACTAGCTGGGAGGCCTGGGGGAACCTGCCTCACCTACTGAGCCCTGAGTACCCCCTCACTATGGCAGCTAACTAGAATATGGAGTGCTCACCACACAGAAGGTACTCGAGTATTTCTTGAATCTAAATGGAGTCTTTCCTCTTGCCCCCACGGGAGATGGAGTATCCCAGCAAGTCAGGAAGATCTTTGGTTCCTGAAGGCCCTGCCCCTCCCCTCCCTTACTTTTGAAGGAAATAGGTTTTATTGTGTAGCTTTAGGACCTCCCTGTTGCCCAGCAGATACACACACACACACACACACACACACACACCGCCCAGTTCAGATCTTAGAGGATGGAAAAGTCAGGCCGGCAATGTCCGACGGCCCTTCAGTGGGGCTGTGGAATTGGAGAGTCCACAGAGGAGACTCTGATCAGTCATGTCCCTCTCTTTCTCTGTGCCCCCAGAGCTCCAGATGATGGTTGAACATCACCTGGGGCAACAGCAGCAGGGAGAGGAACCTGAGGGAGCCGCTGAGAGCACAGGGGCCCAGGAGCCCTGCCCACCTGGGATCACAGACACAGAAGCGGAGTTAAGGCTGGGCACATCTGGGAAAGCACAAAGTACGTTCAGGCTGGGGAGGGACTGGCCCAGGAGGAGGCAGACCTTACCCATCATGGGGAGGGGTCTAATCATAGCCAGAAACTGTCTTAAGAATATGGATGTATTTATATGTACTGCACGTATTTGCCTGTGCGCCCCTTTCCTTGCTGAATGACCACAGCCCCTCCCAGCTCGAGCCGCAGAGCTCCCTGCTGGAAGGTGCGAGCCCACTGTAATGGGAACAGCACTCACAGGCTAGAATCCTGGCTCTGTCACTTTAGCAGCCCAGAGGCCTCCAGCAACTTCCTTAACCTCAGTCTGTAAAATGATAACGATGATGCCTCTGGCCTTGGGTTGTTTGTGAAAGTAAAATGAGACCAGTTCTTAGCCCAGCAGCTGACACATACAAAGCAGGCAATAAATGGGAAGTGCTGTTACCACCTGCCCTCAGTCCCTGATCCCACGTGGATTCCAGAATCCAGAGTTCTTCCAACTACATGAAGGTGACATGGTACACACATTGCATATTACGTAACACCCCAGCAGAGCGCCCTGTAATCAAACACATTAATATTTCTGCAGTGAACTGAATGGTCCCACTAAATGGGATAAATAAAGACTACAGATAGTCCCATACGAGGTCAGGTTTAGCCAAATTGTACCCAAACTTTTTTTCACTCTCCTTTGAAGGTTTTTTTTTTTTCTAATTTCTGATTGCAAATTAAAAAAAAATAATAATAATGACCCTGTAGTCATAGTTGTGATTAGAGAAGACACCACTGGTCCTGCCCGATTGCCCCCAGCCTGGTACTTGGGCTGTCTCTGGGGTCACTGGAGCATCAGATGGGGTAAGAAGAGCAGCAACCTCTGCCAGCCTTCATGAATACTGCCTTTTCCTCCCACCGCCCACTTTCCCTCCTTAGAGCCTGCAGAACCCATCCCTAAGGCTCAGGAGAGGGGCAGTGAGAAACCCAGCACAGAGGAGCCCACAACCCATATACCACCACTGGATTCCCAGGGAGCCAACTTGGTAAGAGCCCAGGGCTGGGTGGCCCGGTCTCCAGGAGAGCAGGCCGTGTGGATACGGGCAAGGACTAAGATCTGGAATCAGGGAAAGGGGGAACAAAGGACCAGCTTCAGTCACTGAAAAGCTGTCGTCTCAGGCAAGAAGATTTGGGGGTATTATGTATCCACGGACAAAGAGAAATGGGATGAAGCCACAGGACGAAGGACTGGGGTTGGGCTCAGTACTAGGGTTTCTGGCTCCTGGAATGGGTGACGGCAGTCGGCCATCGGCTTTCTGAGAAAAGGTGTTTGGAACCCGAAGGGAGATCCTCATGTCCTGCCTGGAGCGGAGGCATTGATGAGATAGCCTCGCGGGCTTTGGTCTTACAGTTCCCCCTCCCTGCGTGGGTGGGACACATGGGGGGACTGGTGTGGGACATCAGAGGTTAGACACTTGACAACGGGCAGAGCAGCAAGGGTGGGACAGGGGGCCCTCTGGTCTCTCACTCGCCCTCTCTTTCTGCCCCTCCCCCACAACAGGTCTGAGAGTGAAGGAGGTATCCTGGAATGGAGACTGCAGTTGGGAATGCATGGACACTGGATCTGTTTCTTATTCTTCACTTTTAGGGAAAATCTCTTGTTTTTAAAAAGTGATAAATTTGGTGTTAGGTCCTCGGTATTTTCCTTCTTTCCTGGTTTGGAGAATCCTTTCTCCCTCCCTTCTTGTCCTGCCCTCTCAGCAGCCCCCTGTCCTTCTGCCCAGCTGGTCTGGAAAGGAGGAAATTGGGAAGCTGGGCTGGAGCCTTAAGAAGGGGGTTGGGGGCGGGGAGAGTTCTCTCCCCCAACCCTGCCCCTACCTGCTGTGGCAAGAAAGATGGGGGTCAGACAGGTGTGTAAGGACTAACTTCCAGGGCACCAAGAAGGAAGGAAAGGCCTGGGTTCTCTTCTCTTAATTGAGGAAAAGATACCAGCACACGGCAGGCCTGCCCTGCAGCCGGGTGAGACTTGGGAGTCCTAAGGCCCGTCCAGCTGTGCCTGTCCTGTGGCCGCCGCCTGCTGGACAAGCGGGGGGCGGGGAACTGCACCCTGGCCCTTGGCCCAAGGGGAAGAGGGGATGCTGTGTGGATGCCTCCTTGTCCTCCAAGCCTCAGTGAGTCCCAGGCTTCAGGATATGGTCCCTCCTCCAGCTATGAGACCACCGCCCCTATTCCAACCCAGTAGCAAAGATAGGTTGAGAACACAGTGGCTATTAACAAAGAGGCCCTGGCTGGGAGCCAGAAAGATCAGCTCTCTCCCTGGCCTGAGACTCAGAGGGGCCAGGGCAAAAGACAAAAACCCAGCACAGGTAAAGAAGCTTCCATGGCCAGCCAGGCCTCTCCTGCCCGCTGCTTTTGATTTTTCCAGGTGGTGGAGTGGGGAGGGGAGGAGGGAAGGCAAGACTCGCCCTTCCTTACTGAAGAAGCACTTTGGTAGAGAGAAAGAGCCTCAGGAGTCCCACTCCTGCCATCCCTACTGTGTGCCCTCAGTCAAGACCTCCCCTCTCTGGGCCCAGCCTCCCCACCCACATACATAGTAGGGAGAACACCACACCAGGATTTTTTCGAGCTTGAAAGAGACGGTGTATGTGAAGATGCTCGGTGGACTTCCATCCGGCGAACACGAAACACAGCCAGGCCTGGTCTCCCTTCTTTATTGATCTCTGGCTATAGCAGGGTTCTGGGAGACCAAGGGCAGGGGTGAGTCACATGCGTCTCTGCCCCACTTGGGGTGGGGTAGGAGGGACAAGTGTCAAGGTGGCAGGTCTAAGAGACCATGGATATGGACTTCACACGAACGGCGGGGCCCACTGTATAAATGCATGGTTGGTATTTACAGGATAGGAGGAGGGCAGTCGCCTGGACTTGGGCCTTTGCTGGGACAAGGCTGCTCAAGGAGCCTGAGGAGAAGGGGCACAGGGCCTGGCGGGCTCTCTTCAGGAACACAACTGCTGCAGCCCTGAGTCCCTGCCATCTGCCTCCACCCGCCACTCCCCACTTGTCCCAGGGGAGGGGCCTCTTGGTGCCTGCGGGTGCGCAGGCGCTGGAAGGGGGAGTAGGGGAGGAACCCTCTGATAGCAATGCAGGATTACTGGATTATACCTCACCCTCACGTGCACCCTTGGCCCCAACCCCGCTGGTCTCTCCTGCCTGTGTTCATAAGATGCATCCTGAAGGTGCTTTGCTGGGGAGACCTCAAAGCACTTTACAGACATTGGTCGGATGGGAGCCTCCCAGCCCCAGGGGAGAGGAAGGAGGCAAAGGGCTCAGGACAGCCAGGGTAGGTGACAAACCCCAGGGGCCTAGACCAACCCCAAATTCTTGCGGACCCCAGGAAAGGCCTCCTCTCTTCCCCTAGTCGACATTTCAGAATAGGAGGGAAGGAAGAATGGGGTGGGGCGGGGAGGCTGGGGATGGCGCTGAAGCAGTATAGGTCTGGGGTAAAGAGAACACCCCCGCATTCCCAGGCCCTAGAAAGGTCCCATGCCCTGAAGAAGCCCACTCCCCTCTCCACACTCAGGGCTCTGAAAACCCCCAGCTTTCTATCCTATTCCAGCCCCTCCCAGGGGAGGAAAAGGGGGACCCAGACCTGCCAGCTAAGATCTGGGGGGAGCTGAGGGAACCCCCCAAAATGTATTGCTTAGAAACTTGGAGGCAAAAAGGATGGGGGAGGGCCCAGGGGCTGGCATCTCTGACCCTCCCCCCTGGGCCCTGGGAGGCCTCCAAGAAGCTCCCCACTCCCAGCCAGCCATCTGGCCTCGGGATGGGGGCAGGGGGAGAAGTGGGGGGAGTCCAGAGGCAGGGGGATGGGCACAGTGACCACTGGGAGCCTGAAGTTCCCCAGACTTCCTGCTGGGAGATTAAAGTGCACCCCAATGGGTGTCAGGTGGGGAGGGGCCCTTCCCCCAACCCCACAATCTCTGGCATTTGGCCTTCGGGTGGGTTGTCTGTTCCTCAACCTCCATGCTCCCTTGGAGCAGATGGGGGAGCCGGTCCCGATGGATGGTGCTGATGACATCAAAGACTTTGGACTCATTGAGGACCTGGGAAAGAGGGAGAGGTCTCAGTGCTCCGATCTTTGCCTTATCTCCAGCCTGGCTTACCTTCTTCAAGTCCCGCCAGACCGCCCACTTGGTCCCACATACAGTTGTGCAAAAAATGCCTGCAGAGGGTGCCCAGCCAAGGGGGGCGGGGGGGCTGCTATCGAAGTCATGCGCAACTGACCTCACAGAGTCCTGCGTCCTGGCCAGGCCCTGCTCCCCGGGCCTCACAAAGGTGCTAGAGAGGCTGGCTACGGCCTTGCTCAGGCCCTCCCTGTTCTGAGGAGCCACCTCCTTCCTTTCTGCTGGGACTGGACGGGAGGGGTGGAAAAATGTCCCTGCTTCCCACTCACGCCCTGGCCCAATTAGATGTTCATTTCCTCCATTTTCCTCCCTTGGAAGAGGGAGGGAGAACCTCATATCCACTGAACCCCAGTGATGACCCTTCAAAGTTGCCACGTCGGACACCCAGCTCTTTCTACTCCCTACAGAATCTCAAGATCCTTCCCCCTCCACCACACAGGCTCACCTGGGCCAGCCCCAGGCTAGTCCAGATTCCCATTCTGGTTGTGTTCATCTTCGGCAGGGGAGGGCAGGGCCTCTTCCTCACAAGGGGACAGTTCGTCAATGGACATCTGGTTGGTGACGCCTGCAAAGGGGCATTTAGGAAGTTGGGACCAAACCAAGAAATATTTTTCCCCAGAACACCAAGAACATGCAGAGAAAGGTAAAGCATTCTCATGCATCCTCCTGCCTTCAAGATGAGCTACATTCAACCCATGCCAACTTAGGGAGAGCCTCTCCAGCCTTCCTCCCCAGCCTTGCTAAAATTCACAACCCTCAACTCACTCATAATGGAAGAGATTTCCCAGCCAAGGCCACCAAGTTACCCAAATCTACTGGGGCACCATTTACAGACCACAATATGCATGGGGTCCCTTGGGCTGTGGAATATGGCTGTTCCTATCTCCTCTCCTGTCCCTGTTCTAGAACAGTCCGGGCCAATCAGCTAGACAGTCTTTCCTGTGATCTTACTTTAGTCTGATCAGTTCCATTCTCAACTCTTGAGAGTCAAACAAAGGGTTGCTCCAGGGGTTTAAGGAAAATGGACCTGCTACTGCTCCATCAGCCACCCTCCCCACAAGCCCTCATCCCCCACCCCTACCCCCCTGGGTCCAACGGCACCCACCACTTGCTGCCCGTTCCTTCCATTTCTGCTTGTTCTCCTGAATGTATTTGGTCCAGGTAGAGCGGAAGCTGACCACATCAGGGTTGGGGTCTCCCACTTCCACATCCAGAGAAGGCTGGCGCCACTGGAAACTAAAGCAGGGCCCCCCAACTCCAGAGGTGAGACCCAGCCCACTCCAGAACTGCCTTCACAGCCCTCAGAGTGGTGTGGGGATGGAAGACCAGGAGGAGGCTTAGGGAGACTTATCCTTCCCCTTTCCCTCTGCTGGGTACCCCCAAGTCCGTGCCCCTTTTCCCTCAATTTCACCCCTTCCTTTCCACACCTTCCCTCCTACTTAGAAGGAAAATAAAAACGAGATTAGCAGAAAGGCAATAAAGATAGAGCTAACGAAAAATGGGTGGAGGGGACCACAGGGGCAGGTCACACCCTTCTGGTCCCATCCTTCCACCCCTGTGTGTGACATGCAGCAGAGACTCCCGAGTTTTGGGTAGCCTGCTTCTCCACCACCCCGAGAGAGTGATCAGTGCTCTCTGTGAGTCCCTCTTCCCTCCCCCAGAACCAGGGGACCTGGCTACCCCAGCCACCCTCACCTGGGCTGGTTCTTAGACTTGGAGTCCTCATCCACCAGGGGCTGGACACTCTTCTCGGCCACATCAGTCAGCACAGAGAAGGTGGGATCCACGATAAAGTCAATGAACCCTGCGGTGAAGGGGGAACACAATGGAGAGGTCCCCCACCCAGAGGGCTGGGCAGAGGGCCCTGCATGGCTGGAACCCCCAGCTGCAGGTAAGACAGGGTGACCCAGGCTGAAAAGTTCCCGGTGGGGACAGCCTTTGCAACGATGTCTTTGTGACCCCACCTTTGCACCCCCAGGCCTTCCACCCAGGACCCCATGCCCCAGCACAGGCTCACTCCACAGGCAGACTGGTTTTGAGGGATGGAGACTCAGAGAGCCCTGGCCCCGGCCCAGAAAGCATCCTGGCCCCTTCCCAGGACTCTCCGCCCAACAGGAAAGGCCACTCACCAATCTGCGACTGTGCCACCAGAGTGGAAGTCCGATCACACAGGGGAGAAAAGGGCAGGCCCAGCTCTGCCTCCTTGTCGCCCTGAAGGGGAAGAGAGGGCGGGAAAGCTGGAGGGGGTGTTTCAGACTACCGGGGGCCGGAGTGCAGCTGGGGGCGGTCCGGGGTTGTTGTGGGAGAAGAGGAATTTCGGTGCCCTTGACCTGGAAATGGTCATGGTATACAAATGGAATGCAACCACAGTTAAGCTTTTAGGAAAATGACCTCTGATCCCAGGGCTTCAGGATCAGGGCAGAAGCCGCAGGGAGCTGAATGAAGATCTGGAAGCGGAGTGGGCACCTGAAGAACAAAGGGGAAGGAGGGCAGGGGTGGGTTACCTGGCGGAAGAACTCCTCCATGAGGGCCTTGGTCCAGCGGCTGTGAACCGACCAGTGCTTGGTTGGGTGGCTGATGTCGGCAGCATGGAGCAGTAGAGACAGGGCCTTGGACTTGTCAATCCTGGTCAGAGCGGGTGGAAAGGGAAGGGAGACTGATCCTTCAGGAGCAGGAAACCTGGACCATTCCTAACTTCCCATCACAAGCCCTCAGCGCCTTGCAGGGAACTTCCGCCAGCCCCTGAGGCAACGCGCACACGCACATGGGGGCGCACACACGCACCCGTAAGCGTGGAAGCAGCCCAAGCTCTTAGAATCAGAGGCCACGGGTTCAAATCCCCTCTGGACCTATCACACACGAGCTGCGTGACACACAGCAAGTTACTTAAAATTTCCATATCCCACTTTCCTCAACCCTAACAGGAAATACTAACCGAATACTAACCCCACGTGGGGTTGTTCGGAAAATTAAATGACACACAACATTCAAGTATTTAGTGGAGTGTCTGGCACACAGTAAGTGCTGAGGAGATGTTATCTATAATCATCATCATCATCATCATCATTATTATTATAAGTATTATCATCATTCCCCAACAAGGCCACATTGCACGCTGTCCCCCACAGAGACACTGTACGTGAACACACACCTTCAGGACCCCCGCGCACAGTCTCTTCTCTCTCACACACAGTCATATCCTCCCACCTACTTTTTTTTTTTTTAAGATTTATTTATTTATTTGAGAGAGCGAGAATGAGAGAGAGTACATGAGAGGGGGGAGGGTCAGAGGGAGAAGCAGACTCCCCGCCGAGCAGGGAGCCCGATGCGGGACTCGATCCCGGGACTCCAGGATCACGACCTGAGCCGAAGGCAGTCGCTTAACGAACTGAGCCACCCAGGCGCCCTCTCCCACCTACTTTTAAGCAACAGTCAGTGTAATCGGGGCATTTGTTCTGTGTTTTTTTTCTTTAACCTCACATGACTCTCTCACTAGCCCTATTCGCGTAGGACCCGGTGGCAAGCTGTGGCAGGGAGGCCTCTCATTCCCACACGGCACAGACAAGGAAACGAGTCCAGAAAGGTTGCATGATTTTCCCAACATTCCGGGGTCGGGCTGGCCTGCGGCAGCAGTGAGAACACCCGTTTCAGACTCCCGGCCCGGTGTGCCCTCCAGCAGACCCGCAGCCCGGGCCGGATGCAAACCCAGGCCCGTGTGCACACGTCACACACACACACACACACACACACACACACCCCTCCGTGGAGATGGACTCAGACACCTGGAGCCAGGAGAGTTTCTACATCCGGCCACACCAGCTACCCATGCATGTGCCCCTGATTCACACAGCCCTCACTCTGGCCTCGCCCTGGCCACACCCCACCAGGTGCCACCTCTCCAGCTGCTGCAAGGCTGTCTTCATGCACTTCACTTGCTGGAAATGGCAGGACATGTCCGTGGCCAACACCATCTCGATGACCAGGGCCCGTAGCTCTCTGGATGGACAGAACCAGAAAAGCGATCAGCCCTCAAAGCACTGATGGGCCGCAGGTCCAGGGAGTGGGAAGAGAGGGTCAGGGTGAAGGGGGGTCTCTTCGGGATGCCCACTCCCGCCTTCAGCTCACACAAACTCATCCTTGGTGAGGTTGATGAAAATGTTCATCTCATCATCCTGCATTATTCGGAAGACAGAGCTGATGTGGTGATTCTCCAGCACTGAGCGATCATTGTACAAGATGGCACATTCCGACCTGCAAAGCCAAGGGTCATTGCGTCCAGCCCCCTGTAAGTGGGGACTCTGGCAACCTCCCCCACTCCCGCTGGGCCCCTCCTGCCCCGGCCACATTGGCACCCCTCACTTGGTCTGGATGTGGAAGCTGTTCGTAGTGCCTGTGTGCTCATAGTCATGGATGGCTGCAGCGAAGATGATGGCTAAGACCTCGATCTCCGACAGGCAATGCTGGGAGAGAGAGACAGGATGACAGGGGGCTCACCCTGCCCTTCACTGCCCAAAGACCTCCACCCCAGGCTACACCCCTCAGCCCAGCCCTTCCGTTCTTCAAGGCCAGCTCCTGGGCTAATATGGCCAGGTTTCTCAGCTCCCAGAATGGTGAAATACACCCCGTATCCCAACCTGAAACATTCCTGCTGTATCCCAGCACACATTCCCAGTGCTGCCCATGACGTTATGGTCCACCCAGGAATTCTCTGGAGTGAGTAAAATTTGACTCTGTAAAGACTTTGGGATACCAATGGAGAGGAACCAAAAGAGACAAAGGGAAATGGGAGTATAATCTAGACTTCCCAGTTCTGCAGCCATAAGACCCTAAGTCACAGAATAATGATCTCCCAGCACCTACCACCATCCCTGTGCGGAGCAAGAAGCAATGGACTGTCTGGGTAACATCAGCTGCGTGGATCTGGTTGTGGTAAGGGTTCTTGTACTTCCCATAGCCTGTCTCCAGTGCATCCAGGAAAGTCATCAAAAACACAGTGGGAATCTGCAGTGGGAGGGAGAAAATCGAGCTGCAGGGAGGATCTGCAGGAATGGCAGGCAGCCGAGGACAGATCAGCAACGCCATCTTTCTTTAGAAGGCAGCATGGCGCAAGGAGAAAAGCACGGGCTCTGCTGTCAGTTGGACCTGGGCTCACATCCTGGCTCCGCCCCCTGCTGGCTGTGTGACCCTGGGTAAGTCACGTGCCTCTGAAACTTAAAGGCAGAATGAAGATAATACCACCTCCTTGAATGTAATGAGGTAAGTACAAGGCACTTAGTCAGTGCTCTCTACAGAGTAGCTATAATTATTATTATTTCCCTGGAGCTCTTTAAGAAAAGAAAACTTCCCTCCTATCTTCCAACCACCCCATCCCATCCCCAGTCCAATCTCAAGGGGTTCAGAAGCAGAGGAAAGAGTAAGATGACCTAGAGAGGACCCTTGCAGGCAGACATGGGTCATCCCCTCTAGGAAGGCTTTCTCTGTGCCCACCACAACACACACACACACACATGTACACACACACAAGCACCACAACTGTCAGTTGTCTCTGTATATGCCCTTGCAGTCTGTCTGCCTCCTTCAAAGGCTCAGGCTCCCAGAGGGCAGGGCTGGTGTCTGTGAGGAGAGCGAGGTTCAGGACTTGGGGAAGCTTCTGTAGAGATGAGCAATAGTGATGAGACACAGAAGATGTGCCACTAGTCAGTCAGACCCTAACATCTCCCACCCCCACCCCGGAGGGCTGTGCCCCAAATTCAGGGAATTTTAGAGGACCGTTTCCATGACAACTGCCCTTGCTTCTGCGTTGCCATGGTGTCCCTGGAGGGAAGGGAAGGGACGCAGGGGAGGAGCTGGGTGCCCAAGAAGGGAATGTGGAGCTTGAGAAGGGCGGCTCCAGCTGGAATCTCTGCCATAAGTAAAGACTAAAGCAATAAGTGCCCCCCTCTCTCTAACTGCCTTGAAGCAAGGCGACCTGGGGGTGGGCCAAGCCCAACCTGAGGCAGTTATGCTTGGGGTCCTCCAAAACCAGTCCTTCCAGGTAAGGAAGCAGAGTTTAGGAGAAGCTGGTGTCTGGAGAATGTCTGAGAATCAGTTTGGAGAAACATGAGCTGGGAAAAGTCTTAGGAAAAGGAGGACCCTGCTGTTCTCTGTCCTGGAGAGGGCAGGACTGGAAGGAAGAAAATGAAGCTGCAGAAGGAGAGGCCTCAGGAAGGCACTGAGGAAAAACCTCAACTGAGCATCTCAGGAAAGTTCTGGAAACCTTCTCGGGAGTTGGTGTAAAATGAGGAGTTTTGTTGGGGAAAGGCTCACATGTACCAATAGTCTATTATGGTAAAGTAGGGGCTGAGGATGGCTGGGTGATCTTCCAAAGCCCTCTGAAAAAGGGCCAAGTGGACCCCTTTGACCTCTCCCATGGCCCACTCGGAACATACATGTTTTCCTCTGCTCTAACATCTATGTCCACCCCCACCTAAGTGCTGACCAAACAGTCCCATTGCGACTCTTCAACCCCTTCACCCTCCACTTCCAAGTGTGGTTTTTCCACATGGAAGTGTTTTTTTCCAGCCCCTATTCCCAAAAGACACTCCCTCCTGGCCCAGAATCTGGAGAGACTTTAATTCCATATTCTTCATGGCCAGCCAAGCTGAAGAGCAAACGGAGTTCACACACCCTCCCTCCCCTCATACAGCCCTACCCAGCCTTGCCAAGAGCTGATCCTTTCCATAAAACTCCTCCGACAGGGACTCTGAGCTGAGAGGGAAGGGAAGGAGTGACCAATTTTATCCCTTCCTCCCTGCTCCTACACACCCCTCTCCAGGAAACAAATCGAGAGATTCTAGTCCCAAGGGCACAGGCTGACAGCATCTGGACTCTAGGCCTCGCGTGTCCACAGGCAAGAGGCAGGACAGCTGAAACAGGGAGGTGAACTTCGAGCCAGCCTGGAAAGGACAAGTTATAGGAAAGAAGCAAAGCAGGACAGAATAGAATCCTAGGCTGGATGGTTGCAGACCTAGAATCTTCTGGAAAGCAATAAATGAAGTCAGAAGCTCGGGATGGAGCAAGTGACAGAAAGGCTGGGCAGGTGGGCACAGGGAAACTTCCCTGACAGTGAGACTGAGTGAGGGAGTCTGTGCTTGTTGGCAATTGCTTGTTGGCAATCTTTTAGAACAGGAGTGATCGGAGTGGAGAGCCCTGCCCAGGAACAGGGGAAGGATAATGCCCAACCTTAAAGCGGCTGATGAGGTTATGCCGAGTCAGTAACTCAAAAACAATGGTCCTCAGGGCGTGGTCATCTGCTGCCCGGTTCAAGGAAAAGACATCAAAGCACCAGAGGTCCAGGTTCTGTGGAGAAACAACAGACTAGACAGGGAGACTCCCAAGGGGAGCTTCCCAGCGCAGCAAGTGTTGTAGTTAGACTTCAAGGAGGACTTCCCAATGTTTACAGAGACCTGGGAAGCAGGAAAACAAAGACATGGTGACGTGGGCCTTTTTCTTCCCAGGTATCTCTCAGTGCAGGGGAGACAAAAAGACAGGAGTTCGCCTCTGGAGTGGGCAAAATGTTGTTTTGAGGAACATGGGGACAACAGTTAAAAGGGAAGGCAAAAATCACCCCACACAGAGTCTGAAAGTCCCAAACACCATTCCTTCCCCCAATCTTCTCCTCTCTGCCGAAAACCCAGGGCTCACCTTGAGACAGTTGAGGACCACAGTGGAATAGGTGGGGCCCACAGAGGTATACGTTCTCCGGAACATCCTAAGGGCAAACAACGAAAAGAAGCCCACCTATGAAGGTCTGGGAAGTGGAGTCTGATCAGGTGGGGCTGTGGGGATGAGCTCTGGGCGGGGGGGTTGGGGGGCACACCACTGGGGGTCTGGTGGGGTCCCGGAAGCCCAGGGTGTCCGGGAAACGGGGACAAAACTAGAGGCAGAGGGAGGCTGAGCAGGGGCAAGCCTCACCGTTCCACAAAGATCCCAGCCTGCACCGCATGCACGATGCTCCGGAACTTGGGCTTCTCCTCTGCGCGGCGGCCTTTGGCCCGGGCCTGCTGGGTGAAGGTGGAGGCCAGCCAGTCTCGTACCTCCGAAGGCACGGCATCTGACCGCAGCTCCTGCAGCTCGTCCTCCGTGTCCAAGATTTGCCTGAGGCCCCAGAAGGGGAGTCACAGAAGAAAGACAGCAGGTGCTTCCACAACCTAGGGACGCTGAGCCCAGCCACACCCCACAGCTCAGGAACACTCATGCCAGGTGTCTCCCTTCTCTGACCCTCCCCTTCCTTTCTCTCACTACGTTTTTGGTGGTGGTGTTTTTGTTTTTGTTTCTGTCTCTCTGAGGCCTCCACTAATGAAACAGGCCACTATGTGAGGTAGTGAGCGTCCCAACTCTGGAAACGCTCAAGCAGAAAATGGAATAGATACCACATGTCAGGGAAGCTGAGACCAGCAGCACTGTCCAACGGAAATAAAATGCTAGCCACGTAGAAGTAATTATAAATTGGCCAGTAGCCACATTAAAAAAGTAAAAAGAAACGGGTGAAATTCATTTTAATGAGAAGTTTTCTTTAACCAGATACACCCAAAATAGTATCATTTCAATGTAAAGTCAATACAAAATATAGAGAGATATTTTACATTCCTTTTTCTGTCTTTGAAATCCAGCATGCATGTCGCATGTACATCCATGTCTCAGCTCATACTCGGGCTCAATGGTCACACGTGACCAGCGGCTCCCATGCTGGGCCGGACAGGTCTCAAGGGATTCCCCACTGGTGAGAGGGTTAGGACGACATGAGGTTTCTGGTCCCTTCCAGCTCTGAAACAGTCTTCTCTCCTTGATGCCTGTGTTTGTCTCTATCTCTGCAAACCCCTATCTGTTCCTCTGCCCCTTTATCTCCGTGACATTTCCACCTACAGCTCTTCCTCCCTGCTCTGGCCCTATCTCCAGCCTTCCGTCTCACTCCCGCCCCTGATCCCTGTGGCTGCCCGGTGTCTTCCTGCATGCAGGGGTCTCTCACCGTGTCTCGTCTATGTAGACAGCCTCCAGCAGAGAAGCTGTGTATTCCAGGTTCTTCTTCAGCTCTTCAATGTTTACCTCCCCGTTCTCCAGCTGCTTCACCATGTAGCGCAACCTGTGGGGGGTGGGCACAGATGGCTTGCTTAGGGGCTGCCACCTCGTCAGGAGAGCAGGACCCCCTCTGATAAGGTGCCTCAATCTTCCACAAATCGGTACGCTCTCCGACAGGGAGAAGAATCGCAGCTAGTGTGTTTCATCCCAGACTCTTGCCACCGCCTGTATTAAGTTTATCTACCCCCAAAGTTTAATCCCAGGCTTTTTTCTGACTCCACCATCCTCACCTACCTCTGACCTCCCCACACCTCTCTTCAGTCAGTGCTTCCTGAAAACTCTTGTTCAGACTGCCCAGGCCCAGCAGAATGAGCCAGGTACAAGCCCCCGGGTTGATGTTCTGGGAATGATCTGTTTCATAGCCTGAATAACCAAGAGCTGAGACTGCCAGTTTCCCCCAGCAGAGTGAGCTGTGGCATCAACAGCAATCAAAAGATGCTTCCATTACATCCGTTGGTCATGGCAGGGAAGGCGGGGTGGTACATGTCCACAGCCTCTCTGTCCCTGGCAGGGATGGCGAAAACACAGAACAAAGAGCAATGTGAATGCTCTCGCCTGGCCTCACTCCATTCAGGCAGAGCTAATGGATTATGATTCCAGAATCCATCAACCAGGACAGAGCAGGATTAACCCCTGCCTCCCCGACGCTGTGCCCGAGAGAACCTCTGGCAATGTGTGTCTGTACCCACCCCCTACCTCTGCCCCGCAGCAGCTTCCCCCAGAGACAAAGCGGTGGGGGGGTGGGGCCAGGGGTCTCACTTACTCGATGCCCTGCCTGAGAGGACAGTCCCTCATCTTTTGCACTCATGAACGCTGGGGGTCAGTGATGAAGTGGGAGACTTCTTAGAAGTCTGGCGAGTCCAGCCCAGGCAGCCACAAAGCACACAAAACTCTCTTGACTTTGGTGATTCTAACGAATGCAATTAAACATTCCCCTCTCACTCTTTCCCCCAGCCCTGCCCTGCCCCACCTAACCCCCAGGTCGGGGTGAAGTGCTGGACGGGACAATTCCCCACTGAGAGGGGCTTCAGTAACCCAAGGTCACCCTATGAGTCAGGGAGGAAAAAAGAATGAGTCAGGGACCAGAGGCTGAAATTAGCATCAATTCCCAGGGATGCCTGCCGGGGAGGGAGAACAATGGTACTCCTGAACAGAAGCAGCTCCAGAATCCTGGGGTCTCAGCAGCTTTGGAATGGGGTGCCGGAAAGAGTCAGCCCCCGGAAGCATTGCGGGCCAACTCTCCCCTCAGGGGCCAGCAGTCCTGCCGGAACAGTCTGAACGCAAACGGGGCAGAAGGGCAAGGGGGGAAACGGGAGGAAAGCAGTTGCGGGGGACACTGCGGCCTCCTCAATGGGTGATCTTCAAACCTCACTTCTGGCCTTCCTGCTGCACCGGCTGCATGTGCAAACGGTGGTTATTCAACAAGAAAGAAGCTGGCTTCAGTAAAGCTCTGCCCCAGCTAGGGCTTCATTAGGGATGTGGGCTAGAGGCTAAACAACATAATAGGCTTTCCAGCCAATGAGCTGGGAAGGGGGACTGCACCAGCATCTCCCAGAGTGCTGACCCAGAGGTCTTAGAATAAAGAGGTTTGCTCCACCTTTGGGGCCCAGGCACAAACCAGGGCTTCCCTCTCCGGGCCGGTCCCCGTGGCCAGGGAGCCTCGGATCTAGGGGTCACGCAACCCAAGAAGAAAGAAAAGCCTCTGGTCCCGTCTCTCTCCCAGACTCCTACCCCAGCCCTCCTCATCTTCCACACTGGTCAGCCCTTAAGAAAACCCAAAGCTAAACTCACCAAAGTTCTTCTGCGCTCTCTCCCGACCCACATCTGGGAGAGGGAGAAGCAGGCTTCCCGCCGAGCAGGGAGGCCGACGCGGGGCTCGATCCCAGGACCCTGGGATCATGACCTGAGCCGAAGGCAAGCCGCTCAACCGACTGAGCCACCCAGGCGCCCCCAGCTCTACATTTTAAAAAGCGATTTATCTCAAATCATCCTCACAATGGGCCTAGAGAGAGGGAGGGAGTTGGGAAGAAATGGCCACCCCTATTTCCAATGCAGAAACCAAGGCTCCGGCCACAGTTCTAGGAGGCAGGAATCCTGGATTCAAAGATATCGCTTCCTGGCCCTGAGCCCTTGGGCAAGTCACTGATCATCAATCAGTATCTCTCAAAAGGTGACCTGTAGACCACTGGCATCAGAATTACCTGGGATACTCGTGAAAAATTGAGGTTCAAGGCCTGGGTGCACACCTACTGAACCAGAAGTTCTGAGGGTATGATCCAAGGATCTGCAAACACGTTTAACAAACACCCAGGATATTCTCATGCTCATGGAACTTTGAGAACCTTTCTTTTAGAGCCTCTGTTCCTTCCTCTGTAAAACAGTGAAGATGATGATAAACCACCTGTGAAGGGCTGTTAATAAGAATTATTATTTATTTTATAATTTCCTTTATAAATGAAATAATGTATGCAAAAGGCCTGACGTACAGAGTGGGGTTCTATAAACGTGATGTGAATTGGAATGAACTGACCAGCATCACGCTGGCCCCACCCAACTCACACCTCGTGGCCTTCAAACCAACAAGCGCCTGCCTTCTCCGTCCCAAGTCCAGGTAGAGAGGAGTGAGTCTAGTTTGCATGGAGGCTCATGACTGGGAAGCCCCCTAACAGAGAAAATGAGATAATGAAAATGGCCCTGATCTCTCCTTCATAATGACAAACCTCATTTGGGCCACACAACCACCTGAGGGGGGAGGTTAAGTGATTGGCCCAGGGTCACACAACTTGTCCATCTCAGTCAGGTGGGCAAGCCTACAACTCACACTGCTGGGGCCTAACTGTGCCCCACACACCAAAGGTATTGGGCAGATGGGGCTCAATCATGTAACTGGCTTGGAGGGAGGCAGGAGCTCATTGCATCACAGCTCCTCAGTCTGTTGTCTCCCCCAGGAAATGCTGGTGTCTGTCAGCTCATAGTAGACGGTGAGCATCTTGATGGGACTGACAATGACTTCTTTATCCTGCTGCTGTACTCAGAGCACACAGTATGTGCTCAGCGAATGTCCATGAAATAAAAGGGAGGGGCACCTGGGTGGCTCAGTTGGTTAAGCATCTGACTTCAGCTCAGGTCATGATCCCAGGGTTCTGGGATCCAGTCGGGCTCCCTGGCTCAGCGGGGAACCTGCTTATCCCTCTGTCCCTCCCCCTGCTCGTGCTCTCTCTCTCTTTCTCTCTCTCTCACATGCTCTCTCAAATAAACAAAATCTAAATAAATAACTGGGAGTAGGGGCAGATTAATCAGGTGGGGGGCTATCTGCCAGAGCTCACAATGGAGATCTCTGAGGCAGGGTTTCTGAAACTCTAATGGAGAGCCTGCGGAGAAGAAGGAGGCTGTGGCTGGCCTTTCACACAACCTTCCCTCCAAATTCCTCCAGCCTCCACTTCTAGCCCCTGCTCTTTTATAGCTGCTTTTGAGATCTGAAGCGAACATGATCCAGACACCAGAAGGAGTGGGGAGGGAGGGAAAGATTAAAGAATAAATTTGACAAGTGGGGAGTCCAAGAAGGGGACCTGGACTCAGGCAGCTGGAAGGTTCCAGGTGCTGAACGTCACCCTCCTGAAGTCCTCTAACTCCCCCACAGCCCCTCCGGCGTGGTGGTGGCCTCTCTGGTTCTAAAGTCCTTCAGAGTTAGGATCTCCCCAGACCCACCCACAGTCCTCCCCTCAGCATTCTTCTGCAAGAAGTCCTACTTCCCCTGCCCATGGACAGGTCCCCATCCAGGCCTAAGGAAAACTGGAAGCTTCTGCAACAATCCTTCCACCTGCACCCCTAGCCCTGTTTCACTACACCCACTTCTTTCTCCTTTACCCTTGGCTGCTGCACCCCAGGAAAATCCTCAGACCTGACCCCTGGAAAGCACCAGTCTCTCCCAGCTCTAGGCAGCCCGCTGAAAGAGAAGGCTCAGGGTAGTAATAATCCCAACACCCCAGAAGAGTTCAGTTTCCCACCAGTTCATTTCTTTGGGCCATCATGGCTGATAATCTGGCAGTTTCCAAAGCCCCCTGTACTACTTCCAGCACCCACACTCCTAAAAGTTCACTGTAAGTAAGGGGCTTAGGACAGGGCAGCCTGAAGCCAAAGGGCTCAGAGTTGGGAGAAGAATCCAATTTCCCTTTGGGGTTTTAAGATCAGATGAGGAGATTTCAGAGGAATGTGAGGTCCTAAGGATGCTGGGGTGAGGAAGGAGAGAAAGGGGGGTAATCAGGGCTAAGTCATCTGCCATAGGCAAGAGGAAGCAATACAAAGGAAAGGGAGATGGGAATGGGAGGAGAATAAGGGGAAGGGCAAGACAGACGGGGGGGGGGGGGGGGGGGGAGGAGGTGGAGAAGTGGACACAACATACAGGGACTGTCCAGTCTTGATCCCTCCCCTCCACCAAGCTACTAGTGTGGACCCACAGCCACCTGTCCTCCTCCTCCCCCCTCCCCTCCTCGCCCTGGTGCCTACCTGAGGATGGGGCCCTGAAGGTGGCTCCTCTGCACAGGAACAGGATTTGCCATGGGAATCAAAGTGTCCTACTTCAGAGGATCAAAATGCCGCCCCAGGGGTCCCCAGGGCCCCCTGGGGGAATGACTCCCTCTTGGGCCCAACTTCCTCCTCCAGGTCTCAGCAGAACTGAGCTACTGACCAAAGAGAACTCTGGGGAGGGGCACAGGAGGGGCCTGGCTGGAGGAAGAAGGGAGTGATGAGACAGAGAGGCAACACACAGCAACTGGGTGAGAGGCCACGGGAAAAGTTTCACATCTGAATCAGACGGAAAACAAGAATCTGTTCTCAGAAGAATCCCAGAAAGGACAGAAATAGCACAGTCCAGCCCCTTGCTCTGAGGAGGTGGGGCTCCTCTTTGGGGAGAAGGGGTTAGCAGAAGACTTAAAGGTGCAGGGACAGGGGTGCACCCTGAATCTGATGTGGAGAGGCGGTCGGCCCTGGGAGGGGAAGGGGCCCTGCAAGAGGGGCTGGGCAGATTCAGCTTCCTCCCACAGTCATCTTCCGGGCCCATTTTTCAAAATGAGCTTTAGCCCACCTGAAAGGACAGAAGCCAGACAGAAAAAGAACCAGAAACCACAAGGGGAGGGGCTCACTGAAGCTGGGGTTCAGGGGATCCTCACTCAGAGACTGGTTCAACGGAGAGGGAAAGCCCTGCCCAAGCAGTGAATGAAAGTCGGGAGGACTCGCTCAGAGAAACCAAGAGGTTGGACAAGTTACTTTCCCACTCCCAGCCCCCGTTTCTCATCTGGAAAACGAGCACTGGGGGATAACTGGGTATTAACTGGGGAGCGGCCAATCCAGCCCAGAGGAAGAGGAGAATTGATGGAACGGCCTAGGGCGGGCCTGGGGACTAGGACCCCCTCTTCCGCCTCCAGGCTTTGCCCTCGCTCAGGTTGGGGGACAGATGCTGGCCTCTGCGGCGCGGGGTGGACGTGCGCGTACAGCCCCAGCCCGCCTCCGGATTGGCTGTGAAATGACGTCACCAATACAAGCGCATTGGGGCCGCGATTGGTCATCTGAGGGGCTGGGCGGGGCTGAGGAGGAGAGCCCGGGGTGAAGGCGAACGCATCCAGTGGAGAGTTCCGCGCCACTGCATTCTCCTTAATCTAGGGTCTAGGGCTGGGGATAATGTGGAAATGAGGAAAGGGGACTCGTGGGGATGAGTTTGACAGGAGAGAGGGAAAAGAGAAGAAACAGACCAAGCACCAGGATTTTATGACGGGAAGTCTTCCTCTCCACCTCTATCCCCCAAAAGCAGAGAGAAATTAAAAAAAAAAGCTTGTCACTGTGCCAAAGGCTTGAAGGATTATAAACAAATGAAGTTTGGGAACCTGCTGTTTCTCAACTTCACTGAGTGCTGGGACAAGTGGAAGTGGGCTTAACAGCAAGGAGAGGAATGAAGTTAAACATCTACAAGTTGTTTTCTAGTCCTGGTAGCCATGAAGCCGGGCTGCTGCAGATTTTGGAAGAAAGGAAACCCTCCCTCTCTGTGTCCATCTCATTCTCTCTGTGCTCCCAACACACACACACACACACACACACACACACACACACACACATGCTGGTTGGTGTTTTTAGAGAAGAAGCATTACAGCCCGAATCTGAGACCCAGAACTGACACCCAGGGGATGAGGGACAAGTCATTGCCTGTTTTGTGGCCATGCCTGCTTGGAGAGACAAGGATAGGGTAGGAGTGGAGGAAGGTGGTAGCCGGCTGCATACAGCCTGAAACACCAACAAACACCAAGCCAGGGCAGCTCCCCTCCCTCCCCTGACTCCAGGCCCTCACTCCAGGCCCTGCCACCTCAAGCAGGCACTTACCTCAACCCTCCTACCAAAAGGTGGAGATTTCTTAGACTAGAAAAGCTTTGGAGAGGATATTTTGTCTATCCCTCTGCCCTCTTGCCCAATAGAACCAAAAGCTGGTTGGACAAATGACTGCTTACCACCTCACCACACATACATACCTGCTGCATTGTCCCAGCATGCATTCCATACATGCTCATCCCAGTCTATTATTATTATTAACTGTTCCTATTAAGAAAGGATATTGGCCAACCACCAGCCCTTTCTGGGGAAAACAATTTCACACATATCCCCTCACCCATGCATATACACACACACAACATCTCTATCCAAGCTAGGGAGACTTCCCTGGGTGGGAGGCAGGGCATAGCTATGATGACCCCAGCAGAGTCCAGCATGGATTTTCCTTTAGTCTTTAAATTTAGTTTAAAAATAGCAAGGAGCACAACCATAATCCTCCCTCCCGGGCCCATTCCCAGCACTCCCCACCTGCCCTGAAGAATAGGAGTTGGGATAGGGGATGAACAAAGGATAGAAAACCCTGCCTCTGGTCAGAGAAGAGAGGGGGTGGGGACGGTGGAGTGGGTGGGAGTGGGGGGTGGTGTGGGGTGTTGGGGAAGGGATTAGCCAGCTGATCTCAAGGCTCCAAAATCTCAGAAATTGAAAGAACCAAAGAAGTCACCTAAATCCAATGGAAAGAGGACATGAATTAAAATCAGGAGACTTTTGCCTAGACTTTATCACTATATGTGACCTTGGGCAGGACACTCTGAGGCCATCTCCTTGTCTATAAAATGGGTAAGCAATATGTGCTTCACAGAATTCACACAAGGATCAAATGAGATCACATGGGAGCACCTTGGGGACTATAAAGTGATGCATGAATGCAACAGATTATTCCTTCGCCCAACCCTTTATTTAGTTTGCTCAGCAAATGTTTGTTAAGAGTCTTCCATGAACAAAGTCTGCTATGCCCACCCTTGGACCCAGGCCCTGTGGTGCGGAAAAGCCCTAGCCACCCTGCCTGCCGCCACTCCAGATGTCCAGGGCTTCACCCCGGCTCCTTATTCCACAGGGGCCATGAGGCTGTGGAAGAAGAAACTGGGGAATGTGCACAGCATGGTGCTCCAGAAACCAAGAACAACCAGCTCTCCACCTTACCCAAGCCCTGCGCTCCCCTCACTCCGCTGGCTTCCCATTGCTACACAGGCAGCCTTGGTTCTGGCAGCTGGCTGGGCTTGGTGGCGGGGGTGGCTCTGGAGATAAAAATAGCCCCCCTGGTGGCAGAGCTGGGGTGCCATCCTGGGAGGCGGCAGGCCTCGGGTTGACATGGCAGCAGTTGTAAGAGATCTCTAGGCACTGGACTGAGGAGCTGGGTGGAGGGAGGGTGGTGGAGGATGGGGGTAGTGTGGGAAGAACAGAAACGAAGAGAGCAGCGGGAGGGGAGGGGGCAGGAGGTACTCAGGGGTAGGGAGGGAGAGAAGAGAGATTTGAACGATGCTGAAGGCTGAAGAAGGTCTGGGAAGCACAGCAGCAGGGGTGGAGGACTTGGCTCCCACCCATGCTGTGTCTGAAAGCAGGGCCCCCTCTGCCTCCTGTCCAGAAGCTGTTTCTAGCAGGTGTTCCTAGCAACCGCCCAGCACAGCTCACATCGGATGAGGCAGAGGGTAACCTAAACAGCTTGAGCCTTAGCCCAGACTAAAAAGACCCCAGATATCCCGGTTCCTAGCCCAGCATGCAACTGAGTCACCTCTCCCTCAGCCTCGGACTTCAGCCCTGAAGAGAAGGAGGAACTGGGAGGGGTGGGCAGGAAAGTCCAAGGAAAGCTAAGGAGAGAGGAGGCTCCCAGGACCCAAGCCAGAAGAATTCTCTCTCTGGTTCGCTTGCCCACCTCTCTTCTCCCCCCACCCCCGCACTGTTTAATTCTGCTCATTAACCACCTCCACATGGACCACCCCACCAGCCCTGCAAACCACATCCCAGCAGATGTTCCAGCAGATGCCCTGTGTCCAGGGGGCCTAGCAGATGTCGAAGGCGGCCTGGGATGAGAAAGGGAGTTGGAAGCTTGGCAAGGGACTGACTGCAGGTGTGATGAGTGTGGACCAGCGCGACTGGGGTCTGGTCCCAGCCCTGCCCCCAAACCTTACCAACTACCTCTGGGCATCACTCTCCTCCTCTGTTACATTTTATGGTTCTCAGATTCAGTGCCTGGGTTGGAGGCACTAGGGAAATAGGATGCCTGGGTCTCAATTCCCTGGTTCAAGTTCATCCTTTCTGACTAGCTCACTGCTTCCCCAACTCATCCCTAACCTGATGCTAAAAGGAGGAGGGTGGCTTTCTTCTTTATCACAGGAAGGTCACATTCTAACCTCCAGGAACTTTCCAGGAAGTTCTCCCACATACCTATCTTTATTCCACCTGCTGCAAACAAGACAACAGCAAATTTTCTTGGCATTTCAAAAAGAACAGAAAGGAGGAGAACAAGCAGGACAAAGAAGTCTTTCGGGTGAATCTGGTGCGATCTGATTTATGGTATTTCGTTAAGACTGGAATTTCTAAAGCCACTGCCTAGTAGAGATACAGTCGGGGGTTTAGGGAGCTTGGCAACACTGTTGGCATGTGTGCTTATTCAGCCCAGGCCCCAAGAAGTTTCCAAACATGGTGGGCATCAAGAACGGTGCCACATTAGATATGCAAGAGCTGACAAACAGGGGAGCGGGGAAGCCAAGGAATAGCAAGGGAAGGAGAAGCTTCTCTAGCCCCCAGGTCTTGCCTGCCAAAAAATCACAAAGCCCCCTGGAAGCCACGCTCCCTTCCCAAAACTAAATGGTGCCAACACCAGCTGGCAGCCTAATCATGCCACTGCAGCCACAGTAATTATTTGCAAATCTGACTTCTCTTTGCAGCTGCGGAATCCACTGACCCAGGAACCTGGTGGTATCCAACAGCACCACCTGAAGCACCCCGCTTCTAGCTCTTCTCCCAGCCCCACACCCCCAGGCCTCTCCCTGGTCTCCCCTGCCCTTTCCCCACCAAGCCTGCTTCTCTACCACAACCCCATCACAGCTCCCTCAGTGGACTCCTGCCAGGTCTGGGAGGCTGAAGTAGAATCCTAAACTGATGTTTGCTTCCCCCGACCCACATGGATGCAGCAGGAGCTGAGGGGAGAGGAGCAGCTGCAGGATGGGGGGGGAGGGGCAAGGGCACTAGGGACCTCCCCGCACTGAATGGGCAACTCTCTTTCCTCCTTTTCCCTTCTCAGGAGCCCTCCTTCCCCCTCAGTTCCCAACTTTGCCCCACTCAATAGCCCCAGGATGCTCTCCCAATTCCCGAGGACCATTAAGTCTTCCTCCCTTAGGGCACAATCTCATTATCTAACAACTTCCAGACTCTAGGGGCGGGGGGGGGCTCACCTGCACCCCACTTGCTGCCCTGGTTTTGTCCCTTTTTCTCTGCTGTTGTCCTGAA